CTAGTCATTTTGATACCTGGTTTTTGTTGAGAAGTCTAGAGAAGTGATTCTTACAGAGGACTAAGGGGCCTGAGGACTAAGGGCCTTCAGTCAATGCTGGGGAGTAGCCAAGAGATGTCAGTTGCCCCTTCAATCATAATTTGATCCTCACTGTGGCTCAAATCCAAAGTAAAGGAGGAAAGAAGAACCAGTTGTTCTTTAAATCAGGACAGCAGGGCAAAACGCCAATATCCCACTGAGAGAAGTACTCATCTTCTTCTGTGTGTCCAGGAGGGTCTTTGTTTTGGGGCCCTATTGTGTACCCTTGAGAACCAACAGTCTCAAGGTGTTGATGAGCTGGGGAGCAGGGTCTTGAGCTAAGAGGCCAGCTTATAAAGCTCAAATTAGGGAGGTGGGGAGGACAAAAGAACAAAGGAGGAAAGACACCTAATTTGCACATGCAGACCTTATTGAAGACAGGCAAGTGTTAATGATGCACCAGTTCAAATACCAAAGTGTGCAAGAAGAAGTGCTCTATCAGAGACAGGGACTTTCCAAGCATTTCAGTTAGATTAGCAGACTGCCAAATCATGTGCCAGATGGTCACATGATTTCTGTGAAGGCAGTTCTCTGGCAGGGAAACAGAAGCTCACTTGACTCTAACATGACATGGCCTTTGTCTCTATGGAGTTGAGTAGGCCCAGGCCTGATTTGGGTAGGGCATGGCCCTACTGCCGCTCTGCTTTCTGAGAGAAGTCCTTGATATGGGCAATGCTGTGCTGCCCCTCAATCTGGCTTGCAGTAGAGGAATTTTTATGCTGCAACATGGCTGCTGTGATCACATTCAAAGACTTTCTAGGTCTGTGTGGTCTGTCTGTACACACCCTTAGTACACACTTTTAATCTCAAACAATGAAGATAAAGTTAGTTTGTAGAAGGAAGCACCCATGTCAGAAAGTAATGTCTAATTGAGGGGCAGACAAAATAATAAGAGAAAGATTTGACAGAATAGTATATGCCCAGTTCTCACCAGAACAGAGAGCAAAGCGAAGCTACTTGAGAGAGAGCAGATCAGAGAAGAGACAAGGCAGTTTTACTGGGAGAGTTTTACAGAGACAGGTTGAAGAAAGAACAAGCTAGACAAAGGTGAAGACAGAAGGAGCCAGAGAATGAGAGAGAGCCAGAAGATTAGAACAGATTGCTATAGTTAGTTTGAGGCCAAACAGGCTAATTCAGTCAGAAGTAAGAGAAGCTGGTTTGAACTGGTCAGCTTGGAGAGGAGTTTGAGCCAGAACAGCTGAGTTGAACCAGACAGCCAGAGTTTAGAAAGAACTAGAAAGGGTAAGCTTATTGCAGTAAGCCTCCAAGATGACAATTACAGGTGGAGAATAAAAGTTAGTTTTATAGCTTGGGAACCCACATTTCCCAGCACTATTTGCTGAAGATGCTGTCTTTTTGACATTATATATTTTTGGGCACCTTTGTTAAAGATCATGTTGCTATAGTTTTATGTCTTATATCTGGGTCTGCTACTCTATTCCATTGATCTGTATGTCCATTTTTGTGACAGTATAATGCTTTTCATAAAAAAAGTTACTATAGCTCTGGTATGAAAGAGCAGGAGGAGAAAAGGTTTAAGTGAGGATGGGGGTAGGCAGTGGGGAAATGAGAGATATGAGTAAGCTAACTAAAGCTAAGAATATGTGAAGATGCCTAATGAAAAATTTTTAAGCTATTTAAAGCATGGTTAAAACAAACAAACAAACAACAACCGTACATGACCAGGAAAGCTATAGACTCTAGGGGGAGAACCTATTGATACTATTTTTCTAAATGGTCATATTGTCGAACTCTCTTCTAAATAATTTTATGTTCATATTCATAGATTTTTGCAACTCTCAGCCTTGGTCAGAAAAGCTTCTTATTACAGTGGGTACTGGCTAATGCAGAGAGACTCATAACTTCAAAATGTTGAGAAAAAGCAACTAAGTGCTCAGTCACACATTTATGATGCTCAACCCCCAGCTCAGGGCACATTACAGAAGAGGAAGGTAGAAAGAATGTAAGAGCTGGAGGATGGGGAAGAGTGCTACAAAAGGCTGGCTTTTGTACATGGCATGGCTGTTACATACATTAACTCACAGACGCTTTGTCTACATAAGACCTTCACAAGCTCAAGAGAGTTAAAAAGTCCAACATGAAGGTGCTCCTGATGCCCCATCTTTAGATGAGGAGCCAATTCCAGTTGTTTCCCCCTGACAAAGAACCACTTCTCATTGGTGTGTGTGGAGTATATGGTCATTGGCAGGTTACCAATGCCCCTGTAAATGACCACATTCATGAACCTATGTGGGTAGCTCTCATTGGACTTGGAAGATTTTGAAAAAGGATGTGAAGTTAGGAGGGAGATGTAGGTGTGTTGTGAGAGGGAGACTGGAGAGGCCTATATGGAGAGAATGGAAGATGGATATGCCTAAGATACATTGTATATACATATGGAATTTTTAACAAATATGTCCACCTCTGAACTTTGGAAGTGCTTTTTAAAAAAATCATGCCCAGTCTCTCCAATATATCACATACTCATTTGAAAATGGCTGAGAAAATTTTTGACAAATGTAGAAACAAAAATAAGATTTTTAAATGGAGCTACTGAGGTAAGATCTGAACATCCCACTTCAGAACAGATTTACTACATTGGAATTTTGAGGTTGTTTAATGCAATAAAGACACAGGAGTTCTGTCTCTTCAGAATAGGTCAACTGAGAAACATGTCCACATGTCTACATATGGCACACTTGAATATTTTGTCCCTTGTCCTGTAAACAACACAGTTAAGTATAGAAGTGTTGAAAGTGTAGGTGACTTGGAGAAGGAGGTCTCGTTCAACAGAATTTTTTGACCCGGGGTTGAAGTAGACAATAGAGACACAGTCATAACTGCCAATTCTGAGTAAGTGGGGAGGATGGTGACAAAGGCCTTATTTTAGCTACTAGTTGGACTATCTTTGAGACAATAGAAAGGATGAGAAATAGGAAATGATGTCCAGACCTCTAGGAATCAGATCAGAAGTAAACAGACAACAAAATCATTTTCCTATCAAAAATAGGAGAGCTTCAAGACAGGGAAGATGTCACAGAAGAAATGATCAACCACCATATGATGAAATGGTAAAGTAAATATGGGTATCTCATGGACATATACCATGGTCAGACTGATTATAAAGCTTCATTATTTTTTTTAAAAGCTGGATGTATGCTCTTCTTCATGATGAATGTCTCTTAAGGGTTTGTAGATAAGTACGTAGCAGTCAGAACATCTCTGTGAAAAAGTGGTTGAGGATGGTTAAAGTAATAAGAAGAGTGTTTTTGTGGCAGAACCTCCTAGGCTGGTTCTGGGCTACAAGGCTGGTGGGCAACCATGGAAGAACCACCATTATGTACAACATTTTCTCAAGTACATGGAGCTATGGAAGAGATGGTCAGAAACAACATCACAACGATAGCACAGTACTGTCAGTGGGAATCAATTTCATAGGATGAGAAAACACACCAAGAGGATGAACTAAGATTCGTGGAGTCTGGAAAGTTCCAGGAAAACAACATACAAACCCATGTCACTTCTGCCAGGTTGTGAGGTTTGTTCTTTGTCATTCTTCAGTTGCTATGTCTGAAAGCAATCCGAGATGTCAACATGAAAGAATTTTCATCATAACATGGATTTTAGGTCAGAGTTGGATAAATGAGTATAGGGAAGAGAGGGAAAGGAGTGTTGAGAGGAGAAGGAGGAAGTTGAGGAGAAGGAAGAGACAAAAGAAAGGAAAGGAAAAGAGAAGAATGAAAGGGATCAGTGTCTTGGTGGTTCTAATCAAGACCATGCTGGTTCATATGATCACATGTGCCATGCCCTCTCAACATCAGTCTTCTTCTCTCCTTAGTCTTCCCTTTAATCCCTGGTCCCCAAAGCACCACTGTGTCAGAATACTGCATCTCTTTTTAAAGTATTCTGAGGGACCTACTGTTATACTGTTGTGTATCCTTTTATTTTCCTATGGGAAATCCATGAAAGTCCTATCTCACCCCACCATAGATTTGCCCTGGGGAAAACAAGAGCAGCTGGGATACCACCATGAGGTTGAATTAGACTCATGGGTGGATAGCTTTGCTTAAGAGAAACTTCTAGTAACACTGTACTGAGAACAGAATTAATTTGAGGGAGAGCTGACCTTCAGGAACACAGTAGGAGTGAAGATGTGGTATTTCCACTTCCAGCCAGAATGGTTTAGATGAGGAGAAACACAGGCAAATATTGCTCTATTGTAGAAGTGTCCACAGGGACTTAAAGGTTTCAGGGAAAGTAACCAGGGAGAGAAGGGAATCTGGTGGGAAGAAGCGGGAGGCCCAGCAATGACAACAGAATATTAGACGTTCAATAAAGCCAGGGGTAGGAGGCAAACTAACATTTATTTTTGGGAGAAGGAAGTTGAAGAATGAAGAGATTTAATTTGATTTTATATTGCTAAATAATTTCTCCCCAAGGGCCTGGAGTCTTCATTTAATGCTGCTAAGAATGTGGTCATCACTTCAAGCCATTTAGAAAGTGGGGAGAATTGATGATGGTTTGGTACAAGAAAAGGGCATCACATGGATGGAATAAAATTCAGAATAAGGTAGAAAAGAACCCAAAGCCTTCTATTGTCCTGCTTTCTCTCTTGCACCACCACCACCCAGAATGTTTTTTTTTTTTAAATTAGGTGAGGGACTCTGAGATTGCTACCATATATCAAGTGGTGGTTCCAGATCATTATACTTAAAGGGCAAGAAAACATTAGCTGTCACCATATTTAGGTAACTGCCACTAGAAATCTAGGAAATGATCTAGATGTCTGGGAGCCTGGGAAATGCAATCTGGAAATCCCTGTGTTTTAGAAAATACTTCATCTTTGAAAATAAGAAGCCACATACTTCAGGTAGAGATGAGTGTGCCACTTACAGATGGATTGATTTGCATCAAAAGATTACCATGATGATGGGACTCTGCCATGACTTTCCTAAGTGCTTTTCCAGCATGTGATTTCTCTTTATTTTGTTCTGTATTTGGGGGATTTTAGAGTCCTCCATACAGTAAATGTCTCCTGAGGTTCTCAATTCAAAACTAGCATGAAGGAGCTTGTAGCTCAGATGGTACACAGTGGACTTCCTACTGTCCCAGAAGTGAGGTGGGAGGCTGATGGTAAAGTTCTCTCTGGTCTTCTTAGAGGCCTAAAAAGGAGAAACAAGGGAGCAAGGAGTGTCAGAGTTTGCCTTGGGAAAGGAGAAGAGGTTAGAAAGGGCACAGAGTTATTTAAAGACACGGTTAGTGTCAACCCTGTAGGTTGGCTGAGCTGGGGCTCCATGGTTGGAATGTCTGTCAATGAACATAATGGCTATGTCAACAGGGACCTCCCTCTCCCACCAAATGCTGTTTGAGTCCCAGACAGCGGTGAGCGTGGCTGAACACAGTAGCGGCAACCCTTCTACCACCCAAGACTGGGCCCTGTCTGTGGCTGAGCCTGCAGGCGTTTCTGTGTGAGGAGCACAGCAGCAGATAATCTGAAAAGCACAGTATAGCACAGAAAGGGGCTTTCAGAATGATTTATACATTCCAGGAGAATAAAAACCCCGCAGGAGAGTGAGAACACTGAAATGCGCTCATGCATCAAATTCTTAGCCATGAAGCCAATGTTCCTTCCAGAGATGGAAAAGAAAGCAGAGGGGGTAGTGTAATTTGTGGGTGGAAAGGAAATACTCTTTGAAAAAGGGAAGACATTTTCACAGACATCATGGACCTTCCAAAACATTTCAATCTTTATAAACCAAATTGGTGTCTAGAAACAGTCTTTTTTTTTTAATTAAAATATTCAGGCTAGATTGTCTTTGTAATTGAGTTTTGTGTATGAAAGAACAGTGAAATTAAAAGAAAAGTACCAACGTTCATCCCTCTTCCACTCCCTACTTTTCCCTCCTCACTGCTTTCTAAGTAAAATAGGTCTAAAGAGCCAGGGTTGACTTCACAAGAAGCGGATGATGACCTGAAGTATTGTAATGCTCAAGAGAAGAATGGCCTGTGTTCAGTACAGAAGCCTCACTAGACCAGAAAGCTGACCGACTTCTTGAGTGTATGGAATATGTCTGTGCTTTTTTTTTTTTTTTCCGAAAGATTGCTACAATGCCAGGAAATCTGATTGTCATTTTTTTGTTAATAGGAGTAAGAGAATTCCTGTACTTTTCCAGGCCCAGCCTTGTTAGTCACCAGGCCTGATGACAGCAGGTTGCCTACATCCCCACACAGTCCTGGCATACACGAGTATTTGCATGTTATTGTAGGATTCAAAAAGTGACAATAGCAAAGACACCAGGTGCCAAACACACCTGGGTTTGCCTTCACAGAAGCACCCCCTACCACCACCTCCCTGCCCCTGCCCCAGGAAACACTTCTCTTATCTAGCGTCTCTCTTGGGTTAATTTTCCAAGGATTTACTGCACACGTCTACACAGAGTCAGAACGTAGAAAAAAAACCTGGGAATGGCTCACAGGCTAATCACACAAGGAAACCGGGCTGCCTTTGTTGTTATGTGGCTTGCTACTGAGATTTCTCCCAGTGAAAAATAACTCAGCTCAATCGAAGGAGTGAAATTTCTTGGGTGCAATTCTTTGCTCTCCTGAATCTTTGTTAGTGTTTCCTTCTCTGTTAATTATCAGTGAAAAAGTGCTTTGGTGAAAGTGTGGTGTTCCTCCATCTGTGTCACAAGAGCTTACCTTGTTTCTCACACTAGCAGGGGACATGCATGGGTTTATTTGGAAAAGAATTAGGTCTGGTAACTGAGAATGACAAGGCAGTATAAATAATTCTTCCCCTCCTTTTTTTAAAATCTTCTTTTTCTTGTAAAACTATATACCAAGAAGTTAATGTTCCCTGGAGGTATTTTCCTCATTATCATCATAGAAACACTGAGGACACATGCCATGCTGTGGCATACACCCAGTTTTTCATGCATGTTAAAATCTAGTCCTTGCAAGATTTCTGTGAGGTTAATTTGGACAAGTCGCTGAAGCTTCTAGAGCTGAGTGAAGGGTTTTGTGTCTCTCATTCTGATAGTGTGTGACACTTGCCTCAGTAGGTATTGAGAGCCTGAGATTTACTTTCCTCTTGGGTCCTGTGGTTGTATACTACTGACCGTAATCACCTCTGTATGGGGATGGCTCTTGGAATCTCTCATGCTGATCTTAGAAAAGAATGGCTGTAGACAAAAACTAAACAGAAACCTCGTTGGCTTTATTATTCATTTATTTTATTTTTAAACATTTTTATGTATAAATGTGTGAATGTGTACATGTGTTTGTGTGTATATATATATATATATATATATATATATGTGTGTGTGTGTGTGTGTATATACATACACATATATGCTAGCGCATACATTTGTGCATGTGTGTGTGTTTGTGTGCATGTGTGTGCATGCACATATGCATACAGAAGCCAGACATGTGACAATGGATTTCTTCTTCAGTTGCCATCTACCTTGAACTTTTAGATATGGTCTTTTGCTGAACCTGTAGCTTGGTGATTTGCCTAAACTGTTTGGTTAGGGAGATCCAGGGATCTGTCTGTTTCTGCCTTCTCAGTGCTGGTATTACAATCACATGCTGCAGTGCTAAGCTTATATGCGGGTTCTGGGAATCCAAGCTCAACTCCTGAAGTTTGATTAGCAAGTATTTAACCTACTGAGTTACCCCTTATCCCTTGACCTACAAATTTAGGTTGTGTATAAACTTATCATGCACTTAGTCTTGTCCTGGTAAAGGCTAAAGGTGAGTCTTTCATAATTTCCTGTTCTCTTTCTTTGAATGATCTTATACTCTATAAGTATAAGATCATACTTATAGAGTGATCTTATACTTATAAGATAAGTATAAGATAAGTATAAGTATAGAGTATACTTATACTCTACAGGCAACAGAAAATCTGACAAATACATTAAAAAAATCTTCCATGTTTTTCAAATGTGACTTCATTTGGTTTTCTCTAATGCTCAAAATACCCTTTTTTATCTGTATTTCAAATAAGTCTGAGCCAAGACATATTTCAAGACAGAGATACCTTATTGTGTTAGCCTCAGACATTCCCAGTTTCCCTATGAAGCCAGAGCACAAAATATCAGGCCTCTTCTCTAGTATTTCATTGTGGGCTACTCTGGTAAAAACATCAGAACCTGGATGTACCTGGTACCTGGAACATCCCTGGAACCTGGACAATGCTTCCTGCTCTTTTGTAGCCACATAAATAAGAATCAGATCCTTACTCGTACAGCAAAGAGACTCAGATGTTTTGGTCGGAGATGTTTTCTAGGTCCCTCATTACACAACTGCTCATTGCTTGTTCCCTAAATATCACAGTTTTAACGACAAGCACAAGGAAGAGTAAAGTATCAAGGAAACATTTTTGGAATGAGCAGGCAATCGGTTGCCTGGATTATTATGACCCTCAAATATTTCTATATTTCTTATAAATTCCAAAGCACTCAAGTCATCTCCTGTGTCACTTTTTGCTGTTTCTGCTGTACTTGAGAAGAATGCTCAATTCCTCAATTGCCAGGAATGCTAATCCTATATTAAGTAATCTGAAATGGAACTGTCCTTTCTTTCTTTTTGAAAACTATTTTTTCAGAATATAATATAATAACATCATTTTGCTCTTCCCTTTCTTCTCTCAGAACCCTTCCATATACTCTTCATTGCTCTTTTTCAAATTCATGATATCTTTTTTAATTAGTTGTTGTTACATACATGTATATATAATACATACTCCTAAACACATAGATTTAACATGCTGAGTCTGTCTGTATGTTTTCATGGCTGAACATTCAGTGTTGGATGACTAACTGGTGTGCTCTTCCTTGGAGAAGACTATTTCTCTCACAGCATTAGTTTCCTGTAGTTCTTTGTGTAGGGTTGAGACCTCATTCGATGTCCTACTTCTACACTGATGTATCTATTAGTGTCATTCTTGTTCAGGTCATGTTTAGGCAGCCATGTTAAGACTTCATGGCTGTAGTTACTGACAATCCTAGGAGACACAATCTCATGGTAAACTTCCTGTTCCTCAGGCTCTTATGCTCTCTCTGCCCCATTTCTACAATATTTCCTGAGCTTAGGCCTGGCTGTTATGGCTGTTGTGGGTGGAATTTTTATTGGTCGTGGTTTTCTGTAATGGCCTCCATCTGTTGCACAGACAAGTTTTCTTGATGTGGGGAGAGAACTGTAGTTTTCTGTGTGTATAAAGACAGATATTTAGACTGTAGTTAGGGATCGTGCTGGTTTAGTAAAGTCATGATTGTAAGTCCTTTTCCTTTACTAGCCATAGGTAGTGTGCTAGGCACCTGGTAGCAATTATTATTTCCTTCTTGTAGAAAGTGGGTCTTAAGTCCAATTAGAGAGCTCTTGGTTACTGCCAAAGTATACATACCACTACTGCACCTTTAGAGTATCTGTATCATGCTGGTCATTGTGGTTCATAGTTGTCATGCTGGATAGGACTATTGGTTGCTTCTCACTTTTGGAAGCTTTCATAGAATCTCTGCTACCATGAAAGCTAGTCCTCAGAAAAGAAACATACAGGACAGTTCCAGCTCAGGGGCTTCTGGGCTCTCTGTCTAAAGTGCATGGTTTCTTCAACACTAGGCTCTGAATCTCTGTCTCTACCTTTTACCTGTGGGCAACCGAGGGCAATAGCAATGGCCTATAATGTTTTGAGAGTTACTTGGACAATTAAAAAGAAAACAATTAAAAAGAATGTTTCTTCTGCTTGGTGTTGAGGTTTTTGTTAGGTAGTTTTTGGCTCTTGGAAGGACAAATTTTCTTTAGTTTTTAATGAACAAATACTATTATAAATTAGGTACTAATGACAATTGCATACACAATTTCATATATAAGAACTGACAAAAGAGATGATTAGAAATCTGTGATGCTTGTGTTCCTCAGATAGAAGAAGGTGTGGCTGACTTTGGGAAGAGAAGGAACTTGTTTGGAGAGAGGTGCTGCTTTGGGTTGTTTGATAGAGTCATAGGTCATGGACCTAGTCTTTAGAGAAGATGGTTGTTGGTCTTGTAGTTTCTTTCACTTCAGGCTTAGTGAGAGGGTTCCCATGGAAACACAAAGCTACAACATGTTCCTTGCTATTTGAAGACTTACAGAACTTGAGAAAGCCAGGGCCATTGTAGAAGCGGGAAGTATTGTCAGAACTAAGATCATCATGGACTCCTAGAATTTACAGGGATAAAGGACGCTTGAATGTTTCTTTTGGATGAAGTATGGTCCACATAGCAGAAAGAACTGATTTACAGTTATCTTGGATCCTACCATAAAAGAGCCATTCCAGAAGTCAGAGGGTTTTTAAGTGCAAGAAACCCAGTATAAACACCAGATTCCGGCACACACAAACACAGTTACAAATGCTAGTTGAGAATAAATGATTCCTCCCACTCAGGTGGCGTTGGGAGGGGAATGGGAGACTATTACTCTGAAGATGGTTTATCTTCAGGTTTGAAGATGTAAAGGACGGATTACAACTCAGGCTGAGTGTTGTTAGAGATACCTATATTTAGACAACCTAGACTTATTAGAATATGAACTCCAAAAAAGGCAAGTATCATGATTATTTCACCGGCATAGCATTTTCAGTAGCTGGCATCATGCCTGGAATGGAATAGTGGCTCAATAAATATTGAACAAATAGATTCCACTATTTGACTGTACTGGATTCATTTCTGAAATTTGTTTTACGTTACTTGCAAAGGGGATGCTAAGTGAAAACAGCCTGCTGTGGAGATGCAATATTAAGGCAAACGGCGTGTCTGCGTGCTCCTAGCAGAAATACTGATTACTTTTGAATAAATAGTCATTGTTCATGCATGTTGATGGAAGGGTTTCTCTCTGTGTGTCTGTGTGTGTATAGAACGTGTACACTGCTATGTGTGTGGGTGCATATATCTGTATACGCATGTGAGGCGGCAAAGAAAGATGTCAAATGTTCTCCTCTGTCATTCTTTGCCATATCCCCTTGAGACAGGTTTCTGGACCTGGAACTCATCATTTTTAAGATGAGTCTTCTGATCAATGAGTTCCAATGATCCTTTGCCTCCACATCCCAAGCCCAGCTCTGGGGTTATGGGTCTATGTGACCACATCTGGCTTTAGATCTGGCAAGGGATTTGATCTCAGGTCTTCATACTTGCTTAGGCAGGACTTTTATCCTTAGACCAACCTCTGAAGTCCTAGAAAGGTTTCTTAACACTAATATATATATATTAATTAATATATATATATATCTCAAACCTGAACTTATAAGATGCATGCTGGATTCAGCTATGATCAGAGAAGCCTCCTCTTGTAGTAGGTGTGAGTGGCTCTGTAATACTCAGCCCTAACTGGGACATCTTCATCAAATCCCTCCGCGATGGCTCAGGGAACTGTTGCAGAAGAGGAGGAGGAAAGATCTTAGGAGTCAGTGGGATGGAGGATACCAAGGAAAGAAGGCCTTCCAGACACAAAGGGTCTGACCCACATGTGAGCTCATGGAGGATGTTGTAGCATGGATAGGGCCTGCTCAGATTTAAGCCAGATGGGGTCCAAGAAAGGAGAGGAGGAAGTGGACATAGTTCTCATCCCTGACTAAAAAGCCATCTCCAACTGACTCCCCCCCCCAAAAAAAAAATCAATGTGTTCTCACTGGATTCATAATCCACAGTTATGGGTAGGCCCCATGCTCAACAGTAGACATCAACACAAAATTAACTCAATGGTATTTTTTATTGTAAATTTTTTTGGTCTCATATTACTTTGGTTGGCAATTTTTTTTATTGCTCGTATGGCTTCCAATTTTGTGTGTTTGTATGTTTGTGTGTGTGTTTCTTGTGCTTTTTCTTCTTTAAAATTTTGGGTTTTTTTTTCTTTTTGCTTGTTTTTCAAAGAGAGAGAAAGCAGGTGTGGAGTTGAATGGATGAGGAGCTAGGGAGGATCTGGGAGGAGTTGGGAGACAGGAAACTCTGATCAGAATATATTGTATAAAAATTTTTATTTAAAAAAGGTAAAAGTTGTATGTGTGGGGCATGTGAACTGTGTGACCAGGGGAACCGGCCTGGGGCTAGAGTGAAGTTGAGATGTGTCCAAACCCTGAAAATCTCATTATTGGTACCAGCAGGAGTAAGGATACCTCCCTCTATGTACTTTGCCTGCATGTCTGAGACCACGTAGTCTTGCCTCTCCCGCCTTCACCATTCTAGAGGTAGTCATATAGCTTGGTAACAAGAACATGTCTGGCTAACACCTGAAATTTCTCTCCATGCATTCCCTGCACCTCAGTCCCAACCAGTGATATACACTCACCTGAAAACCCCTACCCACTCCCACATAGTTTATATAGCCTTATTCTCCCTCCATAAAGAGCTGTATCACTGGAAGAGCTGTGTCACTGAAAGGGCTGTACTCCTGAAAGAGTGGAATGATTCTAGCACCTGCACATATCAGTGCCTGGATACTCCATTGGGAAAACACAAACCCCAGGCTCCAGAATCGCATGAATGATTTCCACATCACTAAAATCTCCATCCAAAATAACTTGATGTTTTGAGTAGCAAATCTTCTGGGCTCTACCTGCTCCTTCTCAGCTGAGCTTACTGCCCTGTTATAAAGTTTCCAGATTTGTTCCCACCTGCTCTGGTCTGGTGTCTGCTTCTTTGTCCATTCTGAGTAATTGACCTCAGAAATAATTGCTTTGGTTATTGCTCTGGATGCCATCTTTGTGACTTTCGTGGGCTTCATGCTCCATTATCTTTGAGCTAGACCTGCCTTTTTTTTATCTATCTGCAGCTCAGACTCCACCTTCTTTGGGAAGGTGATCTCTTTAGTGACTGTGCTAGGTGCAGTGATTTATGCTTTTTGTAATCACATCAACAACTGCCACTAATAATATCTGAGAACCAATTTGGAGTGTTGTAGCTAGTGTGACCTTTTTTAAAAAATTTATTTATTTTTATCAATTACAGTTTATTTACTTGAATCCCAGCTGTAACCCTCTCCCTCATCCCCTCCCAATCCTGTCCCTTCCCTCCTCATCTCCTCCCATGCCCCTCCCCCAGTCCACTGATAGGGAGGTCCTCCTCCTCTTCCCTCTGACCCTAGCCTATCAGGTCTCATCAGGAGTGGCTGCATTGTCTTCCTCTGTGGCCTGGTAAGGCTGTCCCTGCCCTCAGGGGAAGGTGATCAAAGAGCAGGCCATTCAGTTCTTGTCAGAGACAGTCCCTGTTCTCATTACTATGGAACCCACTTGGACACTGAAATGCTGTGGGCTACCTCTGTGCAGGGGTTCCAGGCCATCTCCATGAGTGGTCCTTGGCTGGAGTATCAGTCTCAGAAAAGACCCCTGTGCCCAAATTTTTTGGATCTGTTGCTGTCCTTGTGGAGCTCCTGTCATCTCCAGGTCTTACTGTCTCCCATTTCTTTCATAAGATTCCCTGCACTTTGCCCAAAGTTTGGCTATGAGTCTCAGCATCTGCCTTGATACTGTGCAGGGTAGAGTCTTTCAGAGGCCCTCTGTGGCAGGCTTCTGTCCTGTTCACTGTTTTCTCCCTCATCTGATGTCCATCCTCTTTGCCTTCCTGAATGGGGATTGAGCATCTTAGGCAGAGTCCTCCTTCTTGATTAGCTTTCTTAGGTGTACAGATTTTAGTATGTTTATCCTATATTATAATTTCTTTAAGTGTTTCTCTGCCATTCTATATTCTTCTACAGAGAATTCTCTGTTTAGCTCTGTACCCCATTTTTAAATTGGGTTACTTGATTTGTTGCTTTTTAACTTCTTTAGTTCCTTACACATTCTGGATATTAGCCCTCTGTCAGATATAGAGCTGGTGAAGATCCTTTCCCTGTCGTTTTGTTCTGACAACAGTGTCCTTTGCTTTACAGAAGCGTTTCAGTTTCATGAGGTGCCATTTATTGATTGTTGATCATAGAGCCTGTGCTGCTAGTGTTCTGTTCAGGAAGTTGTCTCCTGTGCCAATGAGTTCAAGGCTAGGCTAGTACGACTCTTGCTGTACTGAGTTGTAACTGCAATGTACACAGAGATGTGGGGACTACGTTCCAGAGGACAAAGTCACTTGTTAGTGTTTAGGCAATATTTTGTGAGAAGCAGGAATCACGGAAAGAATTTAAAGAAGACATTTCTCTTAGCACTATTTATTACATGCTCAGCCAACATACAGTATGTCCTTGATAACATCTGAGTGGAATTATAAAAGCCAGGTGTTCTATATCACCACTGGGGCTTTTGAGACATCAAAGCATGTTTGTCTTCATACAAAATGATCCCAGTTTCTTACACATTTTTCGTTTTCATTCCAATTCTTACTTCCCCATCTCATTATATGCTGTCAAGTTCTCAACTGTCAGCAACCTGTCTCATTACAGTTGTGTCCCTTGAGCAACATGTGACTTTTTTTTTTCATTGACTTGTACTTGGAAAACAAATCAAAGGACTTCTGCTGCAATTTTACACATTTTTGGAGTTATTATTAAACCGATTACCAGTAGCTTTTAAGTGTTGCCACGTCCCTTCTTGCTGAACGCTATGACATTCTAGTTGCTTGAATATTTCCACCCCCTGCTTTACAACTCATTTTTTCTAGGTATTAAAATACTAATTATCAAAGAAAAAAAAACTAAAGCCAACAGAAAACATTTGAGATTATGTCAAACAGCAAACCAATGCAGGTGGAATTGGACAACATTTTTATTAGGCAGATATATAGGCAGGACATGCATAAAGAAGAAAAGGGTACAAACATAGGATTAAGCATTGAGTTGTGCTGGCATGAGCTCTCAGACATTGATCATTTCATTTTCATGAGATTTTGTTGTTGCAAGATCTTTACCCCACATCTGGGCTTGATGACTACATAGCCATTTATTTCATAGTTGAGAGCCCCCCCAATCCAGAACATTAGGATCTTAAGAGTGGAACCTTGGTACACAAGATAAATGTCTCTTGGGGTCAGTACTGAGTCCCACATGTACAAATCCCCAAACTCTCCCACAAAAGACTGGGACATATCAAACCCTCCACCATAGGTATCCTGCTCTTGTCCTAAGACAATACTGGGTTCACCTTTCACAGTGTAGCCCCTCTGCAGACCCTTTTTCACCGAAGGCTTCCCATTAACCCAAAATTCAGCAATGCCAGAGGAGGACTCCCAGCTAGCGCAGAAGTGCACTGGAGGAGGGAATTCTTCCACACCACGGGCTTTGACTTCTGAATGTCCAATGTGCAGATGGTATCCCCAACTTTTTCCTTATAGATTACTAGCTCATTGTCTCTGCCCCTGACATTATAGGAGAAAAGACTTTGAGAGCAGAAAAGGGTCGCTATAGGTTCGAAAACACAGTGTAACACTTGGCAGAGGTTTCTCCAGATGTGGAATCAGCTTCACATGATCACTTTAAGGTTCTCTGGGGAATACAAATACCTTCCCTCTGAGGTCTGTGAGAGAAAATAAATATAATGGGTTTCAACAAATTCAGAGAAACAGTACCTCAGATTTGACTTCTCTTGTTTTATGCTCCCTGACTGTAGCCTAAACCTCGTCCTTGTCTGGGCAAAGGCATCTGAAAGAAGGCTAGTGAATACCAACACCCAAAGCAGCAGCTTGTCCATGCTTGGTCCAGGGCTATGTTTAATGACAACAGCAGTTACTTGGGGAGGAGACAGAAAGGTGGATGCTCATATGCTTTTTTTTTTTTTAACTTTTATTAATTACACTTTATTCATTTTGTATCCCCCCATAAGTCCCTCTTTCCTCCCCTCCCGGTCCCCCCTCCCTTTCTGCATGCACGCCACTCCCCAAGTCCACTGATAGGGGAGGTCCTCCTCTCCTTATTTCTGATCTTAGTCTATCAGTTCTCATCAGAAGTGGCTGCATTGTCAGGGTTCTAGGTTATCTCCACGGATAGTCCTTGGTTGGAGTATGAGTCTCTGGGAAGTTCCCTGTGTTCAAATTATCTTGTTCTGTTGCTCTCCTTGTGGAGTTCCTGTCCTCTCCAGCTCTTACTATTTCCCACTTCTTACATACTATGCTCTTAAGACTTCAAGTATTTAGGTTTTGTATGTTTCTCTGTTGGTGATGGATGAGGTGTGGAGAGTGGCAACAGCATGTAGGGCACCTCCCAGGAACTCCTTCTTTCTGTCAATAATCAGAGTTGTTGTTGGAAAAGGAATGAGGAGAGAAAATGAATTCCAGGAAATCAATGGTAGTTACTCATTAGACAAAAGTCAGTGCAAGAGCTCTAATCCCTGTGACCCAGATTTTATTTCTGGGAAGAGAGACACTGCAGATCTGTAAGGCCTTACAGATGGAACAAAGTGCCAGGTTGGCCATGTGAGGAAGGCTTTGTGGCTGGGTGTCCATCTTATGACTGTGTGCTTTGATACTCAATTGCATACCTATTAAAGTTAGGCAAAGTAACCTTTTCCTGAATAGGACATTCTAGGTTTTTATTTTCTGTTAAACACCACACAAGTCTATTTGTTTCTTTGAATTGATTAATTAAATATTGAGTAATGTATCCAGGCATTACGAAGAGGATAAAGACAGCTGTTTGCCCTGAAGCTTAATAGTTTTCTATTATTGTTACTAAGCCTTTCCTTATTTTATGACTCATGATACTTTCTTATCCTAAACTTTTTCATTTATTATTTTGACTAATTTTTTTTTTGGTGACATATACTCCTGTTGAAATGTCAACAATCTCCCCATTTTCCACTCTTTCCTTTGAACTATTGGACATTAAGGGTGTGTCTTTGATGATGACCTCATCAATGCATCATACGCACATTTGTGCACTTATCCCATGGCATAATGTTAAGTATGGGATCGTTGTAAATTAAAAAAAAACAATTAGAAGTGTTGGCATATAAAATGTTTATTATTAGCCCTGAGACTATTGCGATGGTTAAAGAATAACCTGCTCTTACAAATAATAAGATACAGGCACATGTTAAATTTTATCATTGCCTTATTTGCCTTGGGCTGGGCAGATATTTCACTTACACTGTCCCAATATCCTTACCATCCATCTCCCAGATGCCATTCAATGACATCCACCTTAACCTTCCTTAGTTGGACTACTTTTCATTCATAATCCCATGATGCTTGCTTTTATTCTTTACCTGGACCTTTCTAGGATATCATTGGAATCCTTTTTTCAGTTTCAAGTGGTTTCTTCTCCATGCTAGCCCATGATGGCATTCTCTTTCTTCCTCTCTTTCTGTCCATCTGTCTCCTATGTTTCTCCTCCAAAGTCCTGGAACCCTAGCCACACCTGCCCTATTCTGCTCTGCCCAGCTATAGGTCATTTAATGAACCAATCAGATATAATGTTTTAGGCAAGTTCACACAAAGAAGGATGGGTGTATCCAGCGGGCAGTAACCAGATCTTCAGGACCAGTAATTAGCATTAGACCAACCTCCAACAGGGGAGTAAGCGATGGCCAACTCTTTTACAATACCAACCGCCCTCACCACTATTTCCTCTGCTAATAATTTAAAAGTCAACTATTATTAGTCCCCACTCAAACCTGCTCAGCTTCTAAGATATCAAACTGAAATTTCTCCCTTTTTGCTTGCATGCTTTTCTTTTTTACCTTCAAAGTCTACGAAACCTTTATTCTCATTCTTTTTGTCTAGCTTCTTATTACTTACCTTCTTTCCTTTCATCTCGTCTCAGGTTAATTAGCCTTTTCAATGACACAATAACGACCATGGATAATCATTTTATTACATTCTGCTCTCATTATTTTTCAAATCCTCATCACTGGGCAATAGCTATTATTCATTTTTTTTTTCTAATCTAAACTGAATCTCAGGTTTTGAAGCCTTATCTGACTTGCACAGTATGGGTTAGTACTAGAGTTAGTTGGAGCTATGCATTCCATTATTTCCTGGATTAAATACTGATCTTTCCACTTGGAAGCCCATGCTATTTACCATATCACTCTATCTTGCCTATAATCTCCGAATCAAATCCTATTCTCCAATCAAACACCTCTAATTGTTGCTCTTCACTTAAGACTGGCTTTTTTGATTTTGTTACTTTTATTTTATTCATTGTCTTGAAATTCTCTTTTTATTCAAATCTTAAATTGTCTTCAAAATTAATCTCAAAAGTGATCTGCTGTATAAGATTTTTTTAATGGCCCAACCATACATTACTTCTACATTTTTGGACTCTTAATAATATCTTAGTTATTTTTCTATTTCTGTGGTATGACTCCCTGGCTGAGGCAACAGACAGAGGAATTTATTTAGTGTTTATAGTTTCAGAGGGTTAGAATTCATGACCATGATGGCAACATGTAGAAAGATATGCCTGGCACTAGAACAGTAGCTGAGAGCTACGTTGTTGAGACACATAGATCGGACAGATAATAGGGGCAGGCTGGGAATGGCATGAGCCTTTTGTGACCTCAAAGCCCACCCCCAGGAAAGAATCTTCTCCAACAAGGCTATGCCTTCTAATCCTTTCCAAACAGTTCCACCAACTGGAGACCAAGTATTCAGATATCTGAATATATTGGGTCATTTTCATTCAAGCCACCACAATAATCAAAATACTGTGTGTATACATGTGGACACCAGAGGTCATTATTTCTATATGGCCTCTACCATATTTTTTTGAGCCAGAGTTTGTCAGTTGATCTAGAGCTTGTGTCTTTGGCTTAATTAGCTGATCAGAAACCCTTTCTCTATCCTATCCCCAACACTGGCATCAAGTGTGATGTCATGCCTAGCTTAATGTGGATGCTGGGGATATGAACTCAGTTTCTCGTGCTTGAGCAGCAGTCATGTTATTGAGCAGCACTCATGTTATCCACTGAGCCATCTCCACAGTTCCAAGTTAAGTTTTTATTGTTGTTGTTTTGTTCTGTTTTTTTTTTTTTGTGTGTGTGTGTGTGCCTGTGTGTGTGTGTCACACAGTTTAGTAGCAGCACAAGGTATAACATGATTGAGTAAAATGTCTAGGAATGGCTATAAGTAGGAACTGTGGGTAAACTTTACTATGAACCCAGGAAATGTATAATTCCAGATTTAGGTGTTAAACAGTCAATAACATAAAATTCAGAGGCTAGATTAACACACTGCTTACAGTCTTTGCTATACATTAATAAAGTACCTTTCTATCAACAAAAAGGTTTCAGATATCTGTGTAGAATGGAATCTTTTATAATTGGTGATAAATCCATGGAACCAGTCTGGGAATATATGAGCCAGTCCATGGAGCTTGGTGGAATAGAGATTTACATTGCTGTTGGAAACTAGTGACAGCATGTATTGTTGAATATAGAAATACTGTAAGGAGAAACTATTGATTGAGAAGTAAGGGTGGTTATTATTAGAATGAGAAGAAGGTAGAAAAAGTTGCTACTGGGTTTTTTTTTTTATAGTGCCCCCCACAACAGAATGTTTTTCAGGCTTTATAAGAAAATAGTCCGTGCTCTAGTAACCATTAAGACAGAATCAAAGAATTATTTCTAACAGAGGTATGGAGATTCTGATATCAAGATATAAGAAAATGAATCCTGATTTTCCAGAACTGAGTGGAGTTCTTACATTGAAATATTTTCTGCTATTATCCAGAGGCTTTTGGATACCTTTTTGCCAGTGAAAATCCGGTCGTTTCCATCTGGGTGGCTCCACTGAGGAAGGAAAGGCAACAATATATTGATAAGAAGGATGGTGATGTGTATGGACACAGTAGAGCTGTCCTGCTTTAAATAGTCAGCATAAAATAGAGTTTACCTTCAGAGAGGAATGGAGAACGCACTGTTGGAACCAAAAGAATGAATGCAACAAGGCAGATATCTAGCATAATTAAGGTTTACCTACCTAAAGGATGTAATAATACCTTAGGATTCTAAGGTCTTGTGTGTTGTGGCATGTTAAAAATCACAACAACTATTAGGAAAAACCAGAGAGGAAGAGATGGAAGTAGACAAGGGGCAGTACTAAGATTTTTTGATACAAAGAAAGAATTATTTCCCATGGGTTATGTTAGTTGCAAGAATATCTAAAGACCATTTAGACAAAAAGGCAATTGAGATTTAAAAGTAAGTAATTGCCACCTTGTTATGTGGTTGTATAGAGTCAAATATATACAATCATACTAGCAAAAAAATAATCAAGGGAAACAATGAGGATAAATGTCTGTATGATGGTAACTCAATGCAGACTTTATTCTAAACATTTTATTGCATAGTATCTTAAATCATTTTCTATTGCTATAGTGAATACTGCAGACTAAGTACTTCACAATTTAACACTGTTATAGACTCTGGACAGTCTCAGAATATGATACTAGCCCTTGGAGAGAACATTCTTGCTGCACTGTGATATGATAAAAGGCATTAATGGTGAGACAGAGTGAGCATGCTAGAGGAAGCTTGCGTTTAATAATAAAGGCATCAAAGATAAGCCAGTGAGCTATAGGCTACAAATAACGAATCATTTCCAGAGGTTCCACTGCCATACGACTTTGACAAATAAGTTGGAACTTTGGGGGATATATCCAAAGTGTATCACAAGTTATTAGGGAAAACAAGATGCTACTGTTGTGGATGAAACTATAGAGAGCCCACGGGGAGGAAACGGAGGCAATATG